TTCAATGGGCTGCCTTAGCAGGAGTCTGTGACCAGCTGGAGGGAATGATCATGGACCCCATGATAGGCTGGAAAAGAGTAAGGCTTGCTCTGATGGCAGCTTGTTTAAAAAAAAAAAAAAACAAAAAACAAAAAACAAAACCAAACACACCCAAACAACAGAGTTTTGGTTGCTCGCACCAGAAATTGGAGAAGGGAAAAACCTTTCCTGGTAAGGTAAGCTACTCTTGAATGTTTTCTGAAATGCTGGCTGTTTTATATATGAGCTGTTTTTTCTTGGGGTTTAGTTTAAGTAAAGCCTTTTTTTCTTCTGTATCTTCTGTGCTACCCAAAGCTTGCAGCAATTCACACACAACTTGGTGTGTCTTTCAGTGGTCTCCTTATGCTTTACTCGTTAAGGCCTTACCTTTAATTAATATTTGTTAAACCATGATAATACCACAAACAAAACCCCTGAGAAGTTCAGGAAGTGCCACTCCCCAGTCCCACGGCTCTCGCCCCCTCTTGAGGTCACTTAGGCCTGGTTGCAGGGTTGCCCTTAGCACGCACGTATCCCTCCAGTGCTGCGGCGGGCCCTCAGCCGAGGAAGCTTGACTCGATTGAAGAGAATGAGGCTGATTCTGGCCCTGTCTCTATAAAAGCTAATTATGTGCTGTTTTTGTAACTGCGGAGTAGCGTGTTGTTGCGTTGGGGCTTGTTTACCTCTTAACTGGGGGATGGGAGGGAAGGGAAAAGCAGCTTCTTAATGAGCATTAAACAAAGGACTGCTTTGGAACCGTTTAGGCTTGCAAAAGTAAAGCAGGATTTTTTGGAAGTGCTTCGAGGACCTGTTTTGTTTAGGAGGAAAGGTGCACAAGAGACTCGCTCTGTGTCAGGTCTGGTGTTGTGCAGTCAGGCCCGCTACTTCCAGTATCTGCTGTTACTGGTGTTGTGGATGCCCCATCCCTGGAAGTGGTCAAGGCCAGGCTGGATGAGGCTTTGAGCAACCTGGTCTAGTGGAAGGTGTCCCTGCCCATGGCAGGGGAGTTGGAACTGGGTGGTCTTTAAGGTCCCTTCCAACCCAAACCATTCTGTGATTCTGTGATTCTATGATACTTGGCTGATGATGGATCCTGGAGGGGCAGCGAATGGAAGAGGGAGGAAAGGAGGTGAAAACATCTATTGGATCGAATTGGCTTGTGGGTTTTGGTGTGTGTGTCGCTTCGTGGGTCTTTTTTTTTTTTTTTTTGGTTAGCGCTGTTTTTGATGGGTTTGGGGATTTGTGTGTGTGTCCTCCCCTAGGTGCCTGGCTAGGCTGGACAGGAGCCAGGGCACCATGGTGGTGCCTCTAAAATCAAGAGATGGAAACAAAGCACTGTGATACTTCACAGGTCTTCTGGCACAGACTGCTGCATAGGATAATTTTATGCTAATGTTCGTATGTGAAATCGTTAACTGTGCCAGCACCACTTCTTGAAGTATTTTGGCACATGTCCGCCTCTCCCAAAATGCACCTAACGGCTTGTGGGGGATGTCTGGCGTGTCTTCTTTTTTTGCTTTATGTGTTGTTGCATTTCCCACAGTCCTTAGCCCAGTGGCAGAGGGGGAGAGAAGTTTGTGAGTCTGCAAACCTGCGTTGCGTGATACTGGTTTCTTGTTATTTTTTGGTTTTCTACATTCCTAATTTGTGAGATGTTACAAATTCCTTAAAAAAACCAACCAAACAAAAAAATCCCCTCAAACTTCTTTTTTTTTTTTTAAAGAAAAGCCACAGAATTAAGCCCTGAATTACATACAGCTGCATCGATTTGCAACCCCTTGATTGATTCAAGTGCCTGCAAGCAACACACAACTCCCTTACTCAGAACCCGCTTGGCTGCTTACTCACATACTCCTATTGAACTGTCACTACCCCCAGCGCAAAGGGCGTGCCCAGTGTTAACAGTGGGGGCACCGTCAGCCTGTGGGTAGGAAGGGGGTTCTAAAAGAACCTGAACAGCAATCCCTGTTACCATGAAGGTGCCACAGGTAGTTTGGATGGAGGTTTTTTTGTAGATATTCCTCTTGATTTCCAGTGACAGTACAACAGTATTTCTATCTTGTTGCTGCAAAAGCACGAACGTGTCAGGTCATAAGCTATCTAAAACTACAGGAACCAAGGTCATCTAGCTCTGACCTGCTGCTGCAGGACTGTGATCAGGAAAAGAATGTGGGACAAAGCCAGAGTCCAAGTACCTCATTTCTTTTCATTCATAAAGCGATGCCTGCCTTCCCCCTTTGGTATTAGCTCCCATGCTTTTCCTTGTATCTAAGGGTGGGGGTTTTTTTGTACATAACTGTTCTTTTTGGCAGAAGAAACATGAAATTACTCACAAATCAGAGTGATTATTTTGATACAAGGTTGCTGAGGCAGCAAAACACTAAGCGCGTGCATGTGACTAACGACGCCAAAGGACCAACATCAGTGCGTTGTCCAGCCATAAGCAGGGCTAGAATGACTGAAAAGAGGCCAAACTCCTTTCTTTGACAGCTCTAGAGCAAATCTTGAATATCAACAGTGAAGGTGTTGGCACACAATCCAGTCTTCTTTCTCCCACATGTAGTTTTTAAGCAAAGTTTAACTTCCTCTGGCGATATTAAACAATTAATAAACTTACAAATTATCTAGAGTATTTGGATGCCCATTTGGATAGCATGTGATCGGAGCAAGTTCTATTCCCTGATGCTGAAGATTATCACAATCTCCTGAATAAGCCATTTGAACGCTAGAACAAGTCTTGCAAAGTGACAGTGAACAAAGATATGCAAATACAACTTAAAATAAAAAGGAACTCGCAAATGCTGCTTTAATTAATTCTTACAATAAGGAGGCACTTTTACATTAAAAAAGGAAGTGCAGAGGTTTCATTTTAACTACAGTATGTCAAATATTCTTCCATGAAAAGAAGTAGTGCCTGCGTGGGGAAAATTGTGATTTCTCTTTAATTTTACCTCTGTAATATTTATTACACTTAAACAAACAAAACCTTAACAAAAAACCCAAACGAACCTTTTCTTCTGTTTGCATAGGCCGACATAAGCATTTAGAATATTACTGACACTTCATGTTCCTCATCCCATGGTTTTTGTTTGTTGTATGAGGCGGAGGCCGACGCAAGGGCTTTCCAGAATGCAGGGGGTGCTGCTGAGATACTGTAAGTGAAGGTATTGCATGTATTTGGTGTCAAAAGTAGCAGTTCAGCTCCACCTTGCATGCAAAACCTGCTTATTTCGGCCAAGTCACCCCTCAGCTTAGGCCCAAACGAAGAATAAGCGTGTTGGGATGGGAGGAGCGCAGGGAAGAAAATCCCCTCCACGGGCTCTGGAGAAATCAAAGCTGCTTTTTTTCACATATCATCCTAGGAAAGTGAACTGTAGTTGACTGGGGATTAGCCCCTGGGTGTCAGCCGTATGGTATTCCCGCTGGGAAGCGGCTGTGTATGAACCAGTGCTGGGCAGACTCGGAGCCTGGGCTGAGGCTGGCGGGTGGGAAAGTCAGAGCGAAGTCAGCAAAGCAGCACTGGTTCAGATTCTGCAGTACTGATGTGCTAACGTCTGTACTCAACAATGAAAGAAACCTCACTAATGTCCCTGGGAATGTCGCCGGAGAAAGGCAATCCCCAACAGGAATACTGCCACAATCCATCCTCCTCTACATACGTTTCCACTTCGGTGTTTCACGTGCAGAAAGCAAACCTCAGGTCAGATGAACGTCCCTCTGGCTGACGGATGAGAGTACAAGAGTCACGGCTTACAGCAGCTCTTGCTGTTTATGTGGTTTGGGGTGAACAAAACCACCAGGTGAGCTGCACAGGGAGGCTCCTGGTTGTGTGAAATGAGGTTGGAAATGGAAAGAACACTCAAAGGATGTTAAAGAGAGATTAGAAATGCTTGAAGTGAGCACACCTGAGGAAAACAGTACTTTTCTAATTACCTGTTCCATTAAAGTCGGCTGAGCAGACTATGGCTTTACATTCTGATCTTACTAGCAAAATTTAGGCTTAGTGTGTCAGAAACGCAACCACAACAGGGCTCACCAAAAAATCTCTCCTGGGGCTCTGGGAATGCAAGGTTGACCTAAATAAAGGGAACATGATGGACCGTGAGATGGTGCTCATGTCGAGGAATGCTAGATTTGCCACAAATTGAAGGAAACGCTGGCCACATTTTCTCAGCTTTACTTAGCAAATTCCAGTTCGATGTTCCCTGATGAAGACCAGAGCTCGCTCTTTCAAGCTATCTCCTCATTTTCCAAAATTGCCTGGGGTGTATTTTTGCCCAGTTTGAAAGTAAATTACCTGACCTGATCCAGAACTCTGTTAATAGTCAAAGGCTGGGTTCCCAAGATCCAAGAATTAAAGTGGATACAGTGTAACAAGCTATTTGCAAAAACTGAGCTACTTACAAAAACACTTCAGTTTTGAAGTTGCTTTAACAACATTGATACAACCTGTAAACATATTCACAGAGAGCTTGGGCTCTGGATTCTGAGTTATTTTTCCTTTACTAAAAGCACGTATTACAAAACCCGTAGCGATTTCTCTTTGTATGTTATGCTTGGAAAAGTTTAATGAGACCGTTTTTGTTTAGATTCAAATACATTACCAAAATTGGCAACTTGTGACTTTGTGCTGCTATGTGAAAAATTTAAAGTACAATTGGTTCAAAACAGAACTTCCCGAACTTGCTCTCCAAACTAAATATATCAAGGGCATACTATGAACATGGAACTTAAATCTAGCCTTAAAATTGGTCATTGATATGAATAACATTTTACAGAATTTTGATCTTGATTGTCTCTTTACAGCTGAGAAATTAGAGGATTTCCACCCCCTACCACCCCATTCTATATAAACGGGAAGAAAAACGCTGTTGATTATCTTCCTGGCATATCTTGAATAGAATAATACAGGCTTCTTTATGGCATGAGACTAATTACACAACTTATATGTGACAGAAACGGTTAAATTAAGAATTGAATGGTTACTGCATAATCAGTGGGCACGAGTGAGCTCTAATGTCGTTGTGTTTAGCGACGGCCTCATCCAGATCCAGCTGTCTGCTGTTGACCTCCACCTCCATGCAGCCATTATAAAAAGCGGTTACTAACGTAGCACCCAGAGGAACATCTGCACAGAAACACATTCAGTTTATTAGGCCAAGGCATGCAAATTCTTATGTTATTTTTCAGATCAGCAAAAACATGGGGAATGCTCCCTTTCCCAGCCACAGGAGAAGAGTGCAATTTGGCAGTAAACGTTCAAGTTTTTCTCCCTTTTCTCTCAGCCACAGATCAAGTCAGCAAAGCCGAGAAAGGTCAGTGAAGTTTGAAATACGCGTTAGAAGTCTATTCCCATCCAGAAACCTGACTACATCACTGGTTTTCATAATAGCATTTTCTGTGTTAACCACAGCGAACCAACAGTTTGCTTCCCGGAGTCCCCTGTTCTTGTCCTGACCCACAGGCAGATGTTTATGGGTTGGGAGGTCACAGAAAGAACCACCTCACTTTTGCCAGAAAGCTACTCTGGATTCCAACCTTCGAGTTCTCAGATAGGGAACCCCTGGGAACTCCACTGGTTTTACTGCTTCCTTACTGCTGCTCCCATGTGAATTCCCTGTAAAAAGCTCACTTTATCTGTTGCTCGTTTAGGCATTGTTTGGGTTGGCAACATCAGATCCTGGATAAGCTTCCAGGAAATGGGATGTTAAGCACAAATTCAAGCAGGCATTGCTCTGAGGTCTTAGAGTGCAACTGGATTCTTACAAGGTTGACATAAGGTGATCCAAGTACATTCAGCAACTAGGATGAGGATGCTTCAAAGCTGATCTCAAGATCAGATCTCTCTTTTTTCAGACATTAATCATCTTATCCCTCCTAGAAGAAAAACTTGATTGTCGGGATGTGCTAGATTCAGCCAGAAAGGAGTCAACTCTCTTTACCGTGGCTGCTAGGAAGCTGTTCCTGGATGCAGAGAGCAGCACTGATAAGGTCTCAGCTGGCGCTGGGGAATGCCTGCACTGAATTCAAGGTCTTTCTCTGCTTCTGATCCTGCAGCTGTGTTCTCAGCTCTCGCTGTCTGGCTACAGGCATTGCAGGGGACACACAGCTCAGGCACCTGACCCAAACTGACCAAGGGAGTATTTCATCCCATAGT